GTAGATTCTTTTTTTTTTTTTTTTGGTGCAAACTATTTGGGGTAGATCTAAATCTTAAGCTTTGAAGTTTGTGATTGAAAGGGTGTTGAGCAAAATATGGTTGGAAGCAGAACTTTTTGTCACCAGCTGGCCGGGGGATTCTTATTAAATCAGTGGCCACTTCAGTGCCTGCATATCCTATTATGGCAATCAAATTCCCAAAGAAGAATTGTATGGAAATTAACTCGGCTATTGCTAAATTCTGGTGGGGGCGACTCAGAATGAAAGAAAAATGAAAAATTCATTGGCAAATTAAGTTGGGACAAATTGACAAGGAGCAAATTTCAAGGTGGACTGGGGTTTAGAGACATTGAAGATTATAATGTAGCTTTATTAGCTAAATAGTGTTCGAGACTATTACAGAATCCTGATGCTTATTGGGTGAGGATTCTAAAAGGGATCTATTTTTATGGAAGCAAAGAAGAGCTATCATCCATCCTGGGCGTGGAGTAGTCTAATTACTAGTAGAACTCTGATTAAAGAGAATATTGTCTGGCATGTTGGTAATGGAGAAAAAATTAAGGTTGAGGGGACAAGTGGGTACCTAAAGTTAATTGTGTGAGATTACAAGGTTGCAATGGTACCTCTCAAAATGATCAGCTGCTAGTTTCTGATCTAATTGACAGAGAAGGTATGTGCTGGAAGTTGGCGCAAATCTCCCCTAATATAGCTGAAGCTATTAAAGCCATTCACATTCCTTCTAGTGAGCAAGAAGACACTATGATATGGCCTTGTGGTTAGAACGGGGAGCATTAGTTAAAACTGGATTTCATTTAGCCCACTCAACAACTCTGCATGATGGCATCAGTGCTTCGATTTCTTCAAATTTTATTTCAATTGATGCAAGGAAAATGATGTGGAATATGTTTACTTCAGTTCGATCTTGATGTTACGGTGACATGTGAAAATTTCACCATTTTCATTTAAATAATATAACTTGTGTTGCAAGATACCATTCCATACCACAAAAATCAATCCAGCTGCCATCCCCTCCGCGGACTACTTCCTGCACGTCTTCCCTTTTTTTTTTTCAACTGACTTCCAGCTCATGTCTATCAATTCAAAGATTAGAATATCTCATCAATACCAATTGCGTGGAAGGGTTGACGTATTCATAGTAGGATTATTTTAATTTAGTCGTTTCGAAGAGTGTACAATTTTTTTTTTTTTGAACAAGGGAAATTTTGAGAAAATGGGAAAAATATTACAACTATCTTTATAAGAATTTGAATTTTGGCTTAAGTTAAGGTTTTTAATATATATTGTCGGCTTACTTGCGGTTGCTAGTGCCAAAGAGTCATATAATTAATAGTAAAAGATTTAATGGTTAATATTTATTGTTGTTGTTTATAATATTGTAAACTAAAGTTAAGGTATAAATTCTAATACTAACGCTTAAAACCATTAAAGGTGTGTTTTAAAAATAACTTGATAATTAATCTTGGAATCAAAGACACCTGATAGTAATAGAAAAAAAAATAATGTAGCTTAAAAGATCAAGAATCTATTTATATACAAGTTTTATATATTATATTTATATAAAATTTCAATTATTTATCTTTTTACTTTTAATAAGTAAGATTTATTTATTTTTTTTAA